AGTGTTATCTCGCGTTACAACTCTAAATTCTATCTCTTTTCCATCAGTCCCAGCTCATTTTATGTATTTTTTAAGTATTTTCATATCTTCACTTTAAGTGATCCATGTTGTTTGCAAAGCAAGGCACACGAAGAATGAGGATTCGAGGATGGTGCGAATGAAAAACATTTTTTCTACTCACAGCGTCTGCTCTGCTCGAAATTTCCATGAGATGGAATGCGACTACTTTGGACGCTGGACTCTGCGCCTAATCAATATTGCATCCGTTGCAGAGCTGCCTGCAGCCGAGGACCCACTGGCTCATAGGGCCTTAATTATGCATGCTATAGATCACATTAGATTTTCATGGATGGATTGCATAAAAGCAATCCCTAAACACGCTGTTAAGATTTATTTTGCTTACCACAGTTGGAAGCACCGTTCCCACTTGGAAAATACTTTGCAAGCTTTTGCCATCTTTCTGTTTAATCTTGAAGGCAAATCCACTCTTTTGTGTAGACTCGTGCCACAGTACGTCCATTCCGCATGCGGCAAAGTTAAAAATATTTGAGTTTTAGCGATTCCCTGCATCAACCTCTCATAACTTTTTTGATGACTGTTTACCCATCGTACTAATTTGCGTTTCGAAGTCTTCCTCTTCACACAGTCCACCACGTAGTACGCATGTTTGTGCATCTGCTTGACATGTTAAAGAAATCCTAGGTCTTTTCAAATTTGCAAGCAGGATCGTTTCCCAAAAAACACAAAACATGCCACAGATTATTATCTAGTTTTATAAAATCTTTCCATTAATAAATAACCTCTACAACATTAAGGTCATTCACAACAGGCTTTGTCTTGTAAAAAACGGGACGCAAACGGGTCGATTTCGATTCGAATGGTGTTCCTGTTCGTCCCCACCTGCTGGAGTTTCGAATCGATGCAAAACGTCTGTTTGTTTCGAAATGAGAAATCAGAAAAGCATGATTAAGGTGGATATATAGGTGATAAAGTTGCCGTGAGTTAAACTGCCAATCAAGCAATCGTGTAAGGCGTTCGGATACAGGCATTAAAGGACGCGAATTCGAGGCAATCATGTCAGTCTGTAGACTCTTTTAAGAGAGGCTGCAAATATCTAGACGGTATTTGAATAAAAGTTTAGTAATTTTCTTAATGAGTGGCGTCCAGGAACGAATACGCAGAATTGTTGTTAGTATTACATCTACTGTTTATACATACTAACATGACCTACAGTTTGGCTATTCTCCTCCATCGACCCCTTTTATGCCCATCCATAAATCACCTTAAAAAAGCAGGACAAATACACGCAAAATCACTGAATTTAATTTTAATTAAGCACTATAAGTAATGCTTTATTTTTTTTGGGTCAGTTTGTAAGTCAAAAGGAGCATAAACTTTTACACCGTGGTGCCTTATGGTACAAAATCCGGCTGTACCTCTTACTTACTTTGGATGCTTTAGTACCTGCGCTCATTCCTCCAATTTGCTGGATAGACGAAGCTTTTTCAAAGTCGTTGTGCACAATTATACTAACATTAGCGTGTCCTGTAACTCCAGGAACTTTATGCTTTTCCATGGCGGTCTCCACATTTGGAGTCGATTGGCGGCCAACTCCAGACGACGTTGCGCCTTTTCGATGATGGCTTAGCGAGTTCACCTCTTCTTGATGAATATTCTCTAGCACATAGTACGTACCACCGAGTTCAGACAAGTTTGGATGGTCAGACGTCAGCCGACTTTTTGCAAGAGCTGATACCTGACTGACATCACTTCGCTCTTCTCCTGATGCAGAAGTTAAGGGAGGTGGCTTCAGAAGCAGTTTAGAAACGTTGACGGTCTTGGCAGGCAAAGCAAGTTTCCATGTTTCTAAAACAATATGATTCCTTTCTCTACTGAAACCACAATTACCTCCACGTTAAAAACTAGTTTTTTCTTGGATTGCATTGCTTTAGCAAAGCCATTAAGAGTGGATACTTAATTATCAGTTCGTTACATTAGCTCCCATTCAAAATCTTCTCTAAATGTCATTTAATTAGAAAAAGTTTCGACATATTCTGCGATATTTACGATCAGGAGACCTAACAACATCTGCAAAAGTAAACAATTTGAAATGCCACTACTTTGCGACTTCTTTTAACATTTTTACCTTCATTGTAGGGTTATCACGAGCGGAGAAAATTATGCTTACACAACTCGTCAAGCGACGCGCCTTCTCTACACTTTGAGCCACCTATTGTTGTCGCAAAAATGATTTTTTCCCCTGGTGGACATTGTTTAATGGGAGAGAAGACTACAAGTCATGGGCCATGTTCAGGCCGTGTTTGCACTTTGAAAAATTTGCATGACATTGACGTGCATTAATTAACAAAACACAAGCAAAATATCGTTTAATTAGGAATGCTCTCAGATGTGTGTAGAGTTCGATGTTCGACGCTTCGCAATCCCATATCATAATCCCTCATAATTGCAACGATAATTGCGTCGAAGTAATGGGAGGTAGCGTAAAGGCTTGGGGCACTTTTTAGCTTAAAAAAGGAGTATGTTCCATGCAGTGCCCTAGCAGCCAGTAGTACGAAATTTGGCGTCAAAGTATGACAGAGTCGAGAGAAATTCAGGGGTGTGCATTCGAATAAATGCTAAACAACTTAATCAAAAAGTTCTTCTAATGCTTTGTGCCTGTGAAAATTGAGCTAGTGTCACAGCCCAGGTGTGGAACACAACGCAAAACTACTGAGTTTTCACTTGAGCTTTGAGGACGCCTGCACTTCCGACAATTGTAATTTGAGTGCAAAACTGCTGACAGACGAATCACCCATTGACCGTCACTTCGAAGAGACGTATCCTACGAGGAAGCACAGTATTTGCAAGAGAGGTCATGAGGAATGTGCAATGAGTTGAGGCCAAATAACTTCGGAGCAAATTCATACTCCAATGACAATTTACAACTTTCATTTAAACATAATTACAAAATAAAACATCGCAAGCATAGCGAGCAGTGAGTTCCTCTCCAACCACGTAGGGTTGGAATTTTTCATGTAGTCTGCAGTGCAGCATGATATAAGGTATTGCCGCTCGCAGAGGAAATCGCCCTACTTCGGAGCATCCTTGGACAAACATTTTAATGATGCGAACCAAGCCAAAATCATTTGCTGCTGACCACCCGTTATTTGCCAATTAATGGCAAAATGTTTGAACTGGCAGCTCAGTGACTACAAACTCGTGAGAAATCTTTTATGACTCGCATTATTTTCCACGCTTCTGTGGAAAGACCGAAATCAGTGGTCACAAAAATTATGGATAGGAGAACTTGCTTTAGAGCATTTGTTGCAAGTGCCAATTGTGAGGTGCAAGTAAATCGCCTATGAGTCTTTCATAGTGAACACTTCCAAAAACTATGCTTAAATGATTCGATTTAAAAATTCTTTGTGATGTAGTTAAATAAGGATTTTAAAGTAAAGTAGCCCCTTCTCTTAGAAATAATCTCGTCAGAATCAATCATTCCGCTTGGCAAGTCTTAAGTTATGAACCTTTCTTTAATTTAAAAGACTTAATGCATAGTGTTGAACCCATTGAAATCGACTTGGGCGCCTAATACGAAAAATTTTACAAAATCCAAGCAATAAATCACGCCGGATTTATCTTAAGAAAAGCACTTTCTTAAGGGTAGCTACCTTAATGAAGTCTTTGTTGATTAATCGCATCATAAAATCGGATTTGCGTGTTTAATGGAAATATTCTAACTAAACTGTATGGCTGAAGTTGTTGGGCCTGGGGCTAGAAGTGAGGAGCGAAGCGCATCCCTCTTCCGTTCGAGCGAAAGCACTTTTATGTCAGCACTTTTGTCGATTAGACTTCGGTTTCAGTAATGAAGTAAAAAAAGATCACACAGGCACTAGTTGAAATAATCGACAAACTCTCAAACACGAGCTGTAGTTTATGCAAAAATCATGTGGTTATGTTAAAGGTCGGTAAATAAAATTCTGTAACGGAAGTTGGCCTACTTGAGATGCACCATTGCAAACAAGGGCAGAAAACGCTTGAAAAAGGAAGTGGGAAACCCTGAAAATTTGCCATCTTTCATTATGGTTTATCAAATCAAGGGAATTTGAAACCTCAACATCAAAATCTGATTACGATTTACCATGGGAATAAGCGGAAGAAATGGACAAAATTGAAGCTAATGATCTCAGGTTTTCCAACCAGACTGATAGTCTTGTCACCCACATCCTCTCTTAAACGCCTTCGTAAGGCTTAAAAGATCCAATATTTAGTAACCGTACATTTCTTTGTGCATAAAAATAATGTCAAGAGATCTGCACGTGCTAACCTTTTTTGTCCCAATGCATATTCCAAAATTGTTGCTAGCTCTTTTGTCAAGGCGAGAGATGGAGGGCGTTAGCAACAACCACGATAGTCTCCTCAATACTGCCTTCGCATGGATTTTCTGTCACTCAGGTGGCTCTGCTACACAAATCAATCAAAGCCACTTTGTGAGCCCCATGACGGACTCAAGCCCTATTTCGTGTTTCACTTTGCTGTTTATTTGTTTATTGTGTGCTCTCCAAATATTGAACTAAATTGGCATTTAAAAAATTTACCAAATTTGGATGCCTTTTCGATCTCTAATTGTCATCAGTCGACGCTTGGTGTAATGTTAAGTACAAAAATGGGTTATTTGCATATTTATGTTTGGCGTCTTAATAAAGCCACAAATTAGGAGGACTTTTGGCAAAAAAAGGCATTGTGAATTTATCGGGAATCTATCATATCAGAGTGCTATCAAAGCAATAGTTTGAATACTTTAACTCTCCTTTTCCTGTCCTCGTGATCGAGTGACACCACGAGTGCTTTACTAGATGGCCTGAGATAAGCGATTAGTGGTCAGGCGTCTTTCACTTACGAGTAGATGCATCAAAATCGCGTAAGTGAAAATTAATAGTCATAAGTTTGTAGGCAATGAAAAGCATTAAAGTGCGGAATTATAAATTATTTTTAAGTAATCACAAATGCATTGCCAAATGGTTGAAACATTGTAGAATAACAGACTTACTGTTATACAGGCAGGTATCGCATTGTTCTTCAACTTTTATTGTTTCCTTCACCTCGCCCAGACGTTTTTGGAAGGGATTTTGGTTAAACAAGGTGTGTCTGGACTTCTTTTTGAACGCTTTTCCCATAGATGTTATCTGAGGGGGCTTCCCCCCGGTTTTTTTTAATAGGACCACCAAAACTACGATTAGTACGCAGAGGAAACTAGCGCCAGAGAGCGTGCTAATACAAAATATGGTGAAATTCCTTCGAACGCCACGCTGATCAATCTCAACTATGTCGTGAAATTGGCAATCAATGCTCTTCACTGGCACAATCCGAACCATCGTGTTTTCACTTTCACTGATCTCAACTTCAGTTTTATAAACAGATGGCGGTAATGAGGGCCAAAAGCGATTGGAAAGTGCAATGTAGACAAGGTTACTTGTGGATTTGCTAATAGAATCTGTAATATAAAATGTCCCTGTTTTTTCTTCGATTGAAAAACCTACTGGTAGAGGATAAAAATTTTCAGAACTCGATGCACACAGTTTCATTTTGTATGTTGGTTCAATCAATCCAGGCAAAGTAGTAGTATCAATCCGAAATAAAGGTTCACCGATTTGTGGAAGGGTGGACTCGAAATACCAGACTGATACATTATTTTCAGTCCGATTTGCGGGTACAATTGAACCATTGACGTAAATTCTGGGTGACAGTCCGTTAGCATCAAACAGTTGGAAGGAAATGCGTAGATGACTGTGACGTCTGGGAAAACCATTATCAGTAACATTCAGTACAGCTCGAAGTTGGCACTCGCTACTCAGGCTAGCGTTTAGCGACACCAAAGTCACAAGCCCCGTGGAATTATTGATGGATACATTAATGCAGCTAAACTGGTGGAATGTCAATTTATAGGAGACACGACCTGCTTGTCCTGAATCCGAATCAGAACCAACCACTTGGCCAATCACCGAATTTGATTGGCTTTGACGAGGAATGTAGAATGGGACCTCCTCAATGGATGAATTTTGTTCTTGATCAAAGATCTGATAGGGCGATAACGAATTTGCCAGTGCAAAATTAAATATCCGTATAATGGGAGCGTTGAAATTATTCTCAGCGACAATGATTGCAAAGTTCTTCTTCGTGGACAGTGGAGTTGCTGTTGTGTCTTGTGCCACAATCTCAACTTCATAAACAAAAATGGTTCCATCGAGGTTTGGGGCAGAGGTGAGGAAAAGTTCGCCAGTTGACTCTGAAAAACTGAAAAGACTTGCCTTGTTTGGTGGGAAAGGGGAAAGCGAATGCGGCTCAGATTGAAAGGCCTGCTCCTTGTAAATGTTTAGCGCATATTGCACCATATTGTCTTCGCCCTCATACTCATCATTAAAATCTTCATCAGTTGCTTGAAAACGCAAAAAAACTTCACCCAAAGGGAAAGACTTGGGTAGAAATACAATGGAATCCTCCACCAATTTACTCAAGTTTTCTTCTGTTTTATTATCCAAAAGAGCAGAAAACTGGGCTATATCCGTATTATTTACAAGCCAAGCGGGTGGAATTACAAGTGGATCCTGGAAAACTGGAGCATTGTCGTTCTCGTTTACAACAATCACGTTGACCGCAATATCCGATGTAAGTGAATAAGGACTACCCGAATCTTCGCAAGATATTTTCATCTGTAAATATCGTACTGTCTCATAATCGAGCGACTTTGCCAGACGAAGCGAGTATGACCAGTACGAAGTAGGATACAATGCAAAAGTGTTTTGTGACGCGTAACATAGAATTGTTGTATTTTCTATCGAGTCTGGATCAGTCACGCTAATATTCGCTACACTGCTACCCACAGGAAGCGATTCGGAGACATGAAGCACCACTGCTTCTTCAGTCGCAGGAAACGAGAAGGTAGTGCTTCTAATCATTATCGATGATATGGTGATGTTTGGAACATTGTCATTTGTATCAAGTACACGCACATACACAGGCAAAGCTGAGGTTCGAGGTGGCGATCCACAATCCGTTGCCTCAATAGTAACTCTGTATAGATCCTCCCGTTCACGATCAATCGTTCCAGCTACAGTCAAAAGCCCAGTTTCTGCATCAACATGAAATGGATAGTCGCTTTGATGTTGGGAAATTGAGTAGCGAATCCTACCATTAACTCCACTATCATAATCCTGAGCCGAGATTGTGCAAATTACAGTACCATTGACTGAATTCTCCACTACATCGACAGTTAAATTTGGGTGCTTGAAGGTGGGACTAACATCATTCACGTCCGTAACTACTAGAGTTAGAGTCAATGTTCCTGTCTTGCGTAAATCAGCGATTGTTGCCTTGTCTTCAGCTTCAATTAAAATTTTGTATACTTCAATTTCTTCCCTGTCTAAGCAACCATTTATTCCAAGCGATAGGGGTTGAAGCTCTGATTCAACTAAAAATATTTCCTTCCCTTCGGAGGCAGATTGCCATATCTTTGAGTTTGGCGCCCTTCCCTGTATTGCCGCGATTGAGTAGGATACTTCCGCATTCTGACCTAAATCACCATCCCGCGCTACTGGCAGACGAAATTTTTCATCATACTTCACACCTTCACTAACTTTCAGTGTAAACATGTTGGGTGTAAAAGCCGGTGTTTGATCATTTATGTCAAAAATTTTCACCTCGATTAAAAATGCTCTGAAAGGAGCTGGTTTTGCAGATGTATGAAAAATTCCACCCTGGATAGTTGCCGCGAGTTGTAATTTTATTGAGCAGAAAAGATTATGATGGTCACAACAGCAGCCGTAATTTCCTTGGGAGCACTGTTGTACTGAAAGACGCTTTCTGCATGCAGTTTCAAGGTCAAATGATTTGATCAATTGAAGTTCAGTAGAAATTAGAACTTGACTTTTGTTTGATTCCACGCGTCTTTTTTGAACCAATTGGAAATATTCAGAGAATGGTTGAGAGGAAGGGAAAATTAAAACATTTGCAACGCTTTCATGAAGGGAAGTCCTTTCCAAAAGATTCGTCAAAACGTCTCCAAGAAGGAGGGGAACCTTAGACTCCTCTGTCATAGTGAAGCTAACGACAGCTGGTAGTACATCAGCCCTGCAGAAAATCGAAGTAAATGTATAGCACATTAAGAGGAGGAAAAACCGTAACGTGGGTCGTTTAAGCATATTAATGCTCCATCTGAAACCATCCAATCCTGCATTCAACTGTCAGAAAGGCACACCATCACTTCGGTCTGGAGCTTGAATGTCCACTGATTCTTGCCCATCGCTCCACCTTTTTCCTACGCCGCGAATGACCAATCAGAAAGCGAGATGTGTGTGTGTGTGTGTGTGTGAATTGGCACAAGCACGTGGGTAAGCGAGAAGAGAAGACTATAGATGGCATCGTGCATACATCCAACCTTCTTTCAAAGGACACATATCAAGAGGTTGTAAAATACTCAATGCCGATTTGCGCTCACATAATAGTTAAGCGCAAATTTGAGAATGCCCACTAACAGTGGAATAAACCTCAAACCTTCAAACACGCATTGATGCTTCTAAATTTGCCAATTTTTGGCTAAGCGTTTTGGTCAAATTTCACGATAACCACTGATTACCGACTTAAGAATTCTTTATTAAACTTATAGGCTGCTCAGTCGCGTCACTTTCCATGTGTCGCCACCAGGCTTTTGGCAAGAGTCGACTCAAAGAATGGGAGCACAAGTGGGTCGAAGTTGACTCCTAAAATTGCATCTCTGCGCGGCTCACATTCTGTAGCAATTTGACGTTTCTGCTAACTAGTTGAGGTGCCGGTAGAAGATAAAAGTGCTTATGATATCCCACATGTTGGTCTTTCTTATTATTAAATACAACCGGATAGTATTAGAGGAACATTTTCCGGCACTTTACGGTAGGTTTTTAAATAGGGTGAGAAGAATTATGATTTTCATGAAGTCGACGCGGTCTTAGGGCATGATCAGCATACTCATCTTGAATGCAGAAGAGTAGTGCCATGCAGGGCAGCCTTAAATAGCATTTTTAAGCACTACAAGTGCTAAGGAGGATTAATTTTGAAGTCGCCATTTACCCAATACCAGCAACATGCGAGGCTAGGAAATTGCAAAGTGCATAGCAACTGTGTTCATCCACCTTATGAGTTAAAGGTAAAGGATAGTTCAAGTCATGTGCTAGGCAAATGGGCTTTTTATTAATGTATGCTTAAACCATGCAAAACTGGCAACTCACAACCGGTACGAGGGGTCCGCGCAACCAAGACCGTAAACAGGGAGTACATGTGAGATTTTAGGGCACAAGTTGGTCAAAAATATATAAAATTAAGCACAGGGAGATAAATCTTTTCACAACGCTCAGCAATTTGGGGTGTCATGAGGACAAAGACCTATTTCATGGCAGCTTTAGGCTACAAGATGATTTGGTTTATTTGTACAGCAATGTCCTCCAACGACCTTTCCATGCTAAATAGTGGCATAACTAGGCAGTACAACTGCTTCAAAAGTGTTGCGTTCGGAGTTCTCTTACATGGAGTATTACCAGAAAAAGCGTGTTACTATGAGGCATGAAGCAGTGACTTAAAAATACTAACAAAAAATCAAGTGCTTCCAAAGGGGCATTGGAGGTTCATTGACAAATCAAATGTTCTTGATTTTCTATGCACAACTGACTGCAATTACTTACATGCAGGTGTAAATGAAAACAGTCCTTAAAAGGCAAAATTAACTATACTAGTACTTTTGAATTTTGTGGGAAAAAATCTGTCCTAAATGACATTCGTGCTGCAAAACACAATGTTCAAGTCCGGCGCAATAGGATTGAGGTTTTCAGGTGACCGAACGATGCTTCCGACTTTGCGCTGGTGGCATGGTAAATCAAAGATGGAGAAAACACCAAACATTTATTCCATCCCACCCGTCATACCTTACAGAGGAACTACAGCTCTAGCAAGCCTCTAGTCATTCCACTCGAAGTCTCTTCAAAGTTTAACAGTGTCTTTTACATCTTCTCCAATTGTAAAGGACTTTAACTTATTAGAACTGTTGTCAGAAGTTAGTGCTTGCAAGTAAATTTTAGTCCTCATGGTGGTTGTTCTGATTTGGAACTCAGTGGTCGCTGTAACTAGAGATCGAAAGCCTTTTCCAAATGCATCTGCTAGGATAGTCCTTTAAGACCACCTGATAGTCAGGGCAAGGCGTGCATATACGCTGAGCTAAAGTGGCGTTATATCTTGCGTGAAAGTTAATAATGTTGCTTCCTTTCTATCAATAGAGGATGAGAAGGTTTTAACACAGGTCTGGTCTCGTGGAACGGATAGTGTATGCAGAAAAGGCTGGGTTACTTATGTTACAAATGATCATAAAAGCAAATTATTGTGTTGCACTTGCACAGATTTGTTAGAATAGAATCGCTCCAATTGATGGAGAAGGAGACGCGGTTGTTGAGTCAGCAGTCTTGACAATATTTATTGTCTTCCCTTTTAGGCGTGACAATAGAATCACTTGGATTTGCAAAGAAACGAAGCTTTAGAACAATCAGGCAAGAAGGTAGCCTGCCCTAGACTTAAGCTGTTATCCGCTTATCGTAATTCTATGTAAAATTAAGAGACTCAAATCGCGAGGCATTAGGGACGCTAACATTTCCATCGAGCACGGTCACGAACCCGCATGAGTAATCGTTCGAAAAAAAGCGGTGCAAAACAAAGTATCAATTTCCGCGCAAGTGGGCTTAATCTTGCTATTAAAATTATTGGAAGATCGCAAAAGTTTTGGTTGTTTAATTTTTCATATGTTCCTGTGTAAATTTAAAAATGTATGGGCAACCTAAAGTGAGATTGACTGCTGCTGGTTACTTTGAGATTGCCGCATAGAAGTAGGGCGACATGAATGACAACTACCAGCTGTAAACAATCGTGTGTTAGCTGACCTGCTTGAAAAATATTTTGTCGGTGAGAAACTGCGGTAGAGGGTTTGATAAAAATGTGAGTTGGAAGGCTTCAGCCCACTTCAAGTCTATTGCTTAAAGAAGACGTTAAACTTCACTCATGTACATTCAAACCCTTTCATTCTGTCCAAACTTTTTGCAAATAGGCATTTTGGCTATGCAAATAGGCTGTGATGACTGCGTATAAACACACTTTAGAGATGTATGCCTCAAGTAGTAATTGGTACTCTGCTCATAACGCTCCTCCCCATTTAGCATAGCACAAACGCAAAAAAATAATTCGAAGTTCCAAAAATCAAATCTGAGTTTGACATTTCTTACCACCATCATTGGAGATTGCAGAGACACCGAAAGGTGTGGCCACTACTTACTCCGAATGCAAAAATGTTTCTCAAAGGATTAAACAGAAGTATAAAGTATCTCTCACAAACCTTTAAACAGTTCCATATTTTAGTGGCGCCATGTTTTGAGATAGAGCGGTGATAACCGCTTTGCGTCCCTAAAACCTAGCTCCTGAAAAATATAACTTTAGGCATTCTAGATTGGTGAATAGTCCAGTCCTCATATTTGGAAGCGGTCTCCATGGGAGCGCGTAAATGTGCATAGGCAGAGTGCATCCGGGATAGCGATAAATCCGAACGAGTTGCATGCTAGTAACAAACCAAAACTAGAGGATACAGAGCAACTTTTCAACCCAATACCAAAAGCCCAATTGAAAAACCATTGCTTCTCTATCAGCTGCTTAAATCATTTGCAAGTATGCAAGCATAATCGACTGGGTCGGAGGAATGCACCGGGTGGAAGAATGGTGGGAACGGTGTAGGGCAACCGTTTTGAGGCGCTCAGGGTAATTGTACTAATTTTTCCTTATAACATACCAAAGGGTTACCTCGAGCTTGCTGCAGAGTGAAATCTTGGCAAATTAGTGTACACATTGCCAAAATTAAGCGGAATACGAAAAACTGCATCGACTTAAGAAGTTCTGCACCTAGATTTCAAGGTAGTCAAACTATTAAACCGAATCTGCATTCTACTACTTTTCTCAGTAAGGACTGCTACATGCCAGGTCTAGTCAGCGAGATACGTGTTTGGATGCAGATTCGGGAGGTTAAAGGCCTTCCGAGTGAAGTCAGTTCACCAGCTGCTCAGATCATCCCCTTGCTGTTAGCTCCAGCGCTGCCAATGCATTTGACGCCTCATATTTCGTTGGCAGGATCTTCGAATGCGATGCTGACTCTTAAAAGGCTAGTGTTTAACCATTAGATGT